AACCATCAATCCTGCTCAATGGTCAACTTTCCTCGCGGGGTCACCCATAAAGACAGTGGAAGGGTTAAAAATAAAAACTCATGATTATCTGCTCTGCTTAGTTTTTGCACCAGATATTTAGAAAAGGGAGTTGTTACCATCATTTCACTGCATTTTATTTGCTTTCTCATGTGGGGATTTATTTAGCATCTTTTCACTTGATGCAAATGTAAAGCAGGTCGGAAGTGTTTTGTGGAGTTCTCAGCGTAAGTGGACTGCATGTGACGATAAAGACTCCAAAATGTGTTTTTCTCATCAGTTTAGGCATAATATTGTGAGTCTGCCACAGAATACAACAGACCTCAGCTAGCCTATTGTGTCAAACTGTAAACATTTGGACAATTTTCCCTTTCTTCTTTTTCCCCGACTTTCACTTGCATCCTTTAATTTGCTGACTCTGGTTCCCGACTGTTGGAGAACAATAGTCACACACATGTCCCCCTCTTCTGCTGCGTAGTTGGAAATGTAGCTGGAAACAATGTTTTTAGTGTACGGTAACATTCAGGTGGCAGCAGCGGTCTCCCATGAGAAGGTATTAGTCAGCAGCAGCCAGCCACGCTGCTTGAACATGCTAATTCGGTCTCTGTCTTCTTTTCCCCAGCTGCTCCTCCAGACTTTCCACTGCTCTTGCTCCTCCTGGATAAAGATAGATGCATTTTCTTTTTCACCTCACAGTTCTCCGCATGTGCTCGCCTGCATACACCTTTTTCCTTTCAGTCATAGTTTGTAATATATCCATCCATCCATTGTCTGAAACCGCTTTGTCCACGTAGGGTCGGGGGGGGGGGGAGGGGGCTGGTGCCTATCTCCAGCGGTCAATGGGCAATCGTGCGGGGTACACCCTGGACAGAGAGCCAGTCCATCGTGGAATTTGTAATATATTTTTTTAAATAATATCTCACAAAACAAACATGTGTTATAGGGATGTAAGAAAATGTAGATTATGGCAATATGTCGTGGTATTTTCCCCAGCGATATTATATCGATATTCAAAAGCTGTGTATCGAAAATATTGGTATAGCAATATATCGTGATACATTTTCTTGCAAAAATGTTTCGATATTCAAAAGTCGTGTATCTAATTTTTGGAAAAATTTACATGGAAACATTTGTGTATTGTCTTTTCTTGTGGTGCAATTCAAACGCAGACCACTAGTTGGCAGCAGTGTGTAATGGGTTTTGTTTCTTCCGTTGAAATGCAAATCCCTCTGTTATGGTTAAACATGTTAAGTATCAGTTTGGACATTTTATTGAATTTTCCTATAATAAATTTAGTCTAAAAATCACCAATACCGTCTGACTGAATGTATCACAATATATCGTGATATATTGTCTCTCCTGTATCGTAATACGTATTGTATCGCCAGAATTTCACCAATACACATCCCTAATGTGTTACATGAATCAATCCTAAACCTTTTAGCCAGAGTACACATCAAATAATTTATTAAAACAAGAGCCATGTTTCCTTTACCTCTTCTTTGTTTTTATTTTTAATAAAGTACCGATTCAATGTGGGCTGCGCAGTGGCGCAGTGGTTAGAGCTGTTGCAGCGAGAAGGTCCTGGGTTTCGCTTCCCGGCCTGGGATCTTTCTGCACAGAGTTTGCATGTTCTCCCTGTGCATGCGTGGGTTCTCTCCGGGTACTCCGGCTTCCTCCACAGTCCAAAAACATGACTGTTAGGTTAATTGGTCTGTCTAAATTGTCCTTAGGTGTGAGTGTGTGTGTGTGTGTGTGTGTGTGTGTGTGTGTGTGCATGATTGTTTGTCCTGTGTGTCTCTGTGTTGCCCTGTGTTGGACTGGCTCTCTGTCCAGGGTGTACCCCACCTGATTGCCCGTTGACCGCTGGAGATAGGCACCAGCCCCCCGCGACCCTACATGGATAAGTGGGTTCAGAAAATGGATGGACGATTCGATGTGTTGTGTAGAACCTGTATGTCAAATTTTGTTGTAGTTATTAGAAATCAAAACATGTCAATATGATCTAAAACTTGGATTTCAGTATTTTATCACCATTATATTACATAAATTGCAAAACTCACTACTAAATGATTAAATGTTGTCCTTTATTAAATACAATAAAATGAAAGTCACCAGTGATGACTTCATGTTACTTTTAGGACCCTAAATGCTTTTTATTTATTTTCCTAAATTTTCATGAAAATTGATTTTTCTGAATTCCATATTTTGTGATTTACACTTAAAGGAACAACGTGTAAGAAACCTACATACAGTGAAATAACCACAGAAATGTCTAATGTCTCAGTCATGGAGGAAGTTTTTACTGAAACAGTCATTCTCAGTTGGCTGGGAGGTTGTCGGTTTTTGTCCTTTCAAAAAGCCTACAGCTGGACGTAGTCTTTGTTTGCAATCTGAGCCCATGGGGTTGGCGAGAGTACACCAAGCTAACGCAGCAGTTGCAATTCAACTCCGGCAGGCAAAAGCTCCAAAGTTGTTTAAAGAACCAAACCAAACCAATACTGTGTGATTTCTATGTGTTAATAAAGATGTGAAATCAATTCATGTAAAATGATTGTGGGGCGACGGTGGCACAGGAGTTAAGTGCTCGCCTCGCAATCAAAAGGTCGCAGGTTCGAGACCCGCTCAGTCTGTCGCTGTCGTTGTGTCCTTGGGCAAGACACTTAACCCAGATTGCCTGCTGGTGGTGGTCGGAGGGACCGGTGGCGCTAGTGCTCGGCAGCCTCGCCTCTGTCAGTGCGCCCCAGGGCAGCTGTGGCTACATTGTAGCTCATCCCCACCAGTGTGTGAATGTGTGTGTGAATGGGTGAATGACTGATTGTGTTGTAAAGCGCCAGGACTCTAGAAGGCGCTATATCAAATACAGGCCATTTACCATTAATGAGTCATTCAGAACTACGACAGCAAGCTAGCAGCAAGATGGCAAACAACAACATTTACTCCAGTGCCAGAGAAATATTACTGTAATAAGTGTAGTAAGTGCTCCCTACCGTAAAAAATCCAAGAGCGCTAGCACCATATATGGGAATGTATTTTTGTACTAAAACCAACTTTGTCATGGTGCTGATCCGTAACTGGAAGCAACCTTGAAACTCACGGAACGCCAGTGAGCTAGAGGCTTTTTGTTTAGAAAAATGGGCTGCAGTACTCAAATTTGACCACAATAAGTCATTCTTAAATATTGCCCCTTTAATTGTTTTAATCTGAAAAACGACTTATTGCATGGTTGGTTACAGCGTTCCTTGATTGCCTTGATTTGCTTGAAGAAATTGGGATCCTCTCAGTTCTCATCATCACCATCTGAGCAGGAGCAGAAGCAATCAAGAAAAATGCTAACAGTAATTTATCAATTCAACAGACAGTGATGGAACGTTTGATAAATATTTACTAATTCTAACGCAAATACAGCAATCAAAGTTTTGAACTCCAGTAAAACACTCAATTCTTAATTAATTCACTAAAAGAATCAGCTGATAAATTATTGAATCAAGCATTTCCTTTAAAAAATACCTCACATAAGCGTGTCATGCAAGTTAAATCAGTCACTTCATATATGATCCTAAATATCAGACAGTATTTCATATTATACAGTTTAAAACTATAGTTTTATATTATAATGGTGCACTGTTCTTGCTCGGTTTCAATGAAGCTTATCGGTCATTTGCATTGTCGTGTATTTTCCTACGATTTTTGTCAATCACGCACTGACAAAACTTACTGTAACGTTGTTCTATGAAATCACACACTATGTCTGGATATTTTAAAAAATAAAGGTAAACGTGTAATCGCAGGTTACCTGCAGTGCACCTCTTCGGGCTAGTCCACACGTAGCCGTTTAAAAAAAAAAAACAAATATCCGCCCCTCCAAAAACTTGCATCCACACCACCTCGTTTTAAAAAACTCTGTCCACACGTACCTGGACAAATACGTTGTTAAGGACATGCCAGACCTGTAGGCGGCAGTACTTCCCCCGTTCTTAACCTCGTCCTTCGTCTGTGGTCTTCCGCAAGGAGCAGTAATTCCGCTTGCAAAAACAAACAAGCAGAAAGCGCTTGGACAATTGATAAAGCGAGCGCAGCTCTGAAGGCTTCCATGATGCCGGCTAGTGTAAACACAGGTCGCACACGTGATGTCAGCATTGTTTTGTCGCGGAAATTGACGTTGCGGACCTTAAAACTCCGGTTTTGTCCGTCCACACGCAGACACCCAAAACGGAGAAAACGCAGATCTTCTCTTTGGCCGGAGTTTTTAAAAAGATTCGTTTTCGTGTGAAAAAACTCCGTTTTCGTGTGGATGACAGGCCAAAACGTAGAAAAATATCTACGTTTTGGCAGATCCCCGGCTACGTGTGGACAGGGCCTTAATTTCAGCTCAGTCCCAAACTCCGTAATAACATTTGTTTGGGTTGTACTGCAAAAATCATAGGACTCTGCTGTATTTGATATATTGTTGTGGAGAAATAACGATTATTTTAGTTGTGTGAAACAAATACATCCAGAAGTCGTTACAAAGGCATGTGCTTTTTGAATAAAATCCATCTGTTTTATATATTTTATAATTTCTTACACAAATGGAGTCACAAGCAGGATACAAGTTACATTCTTTTAGCTCTTTCTATTTTACCTTTGAGCTGTCAGAGCAATCAGAGCTCGTGGTGTGAAGAGAGAAGGTATTGTACTAAATGAGACCGATAGGAAGCCACACTGAGAACACAACACACATGGAAGGTGGTGAGAATTAATTAAGTTATGTGCACCAGATGTATGTGAAAGATGAGCCATCTGGCTGATCAAAACTGACAACTCTTCTCCATATAGGATTGTGCAATTACTTGATCTCTTCCTGCAGATTTCACAAGTTATCTTTCAGTGCAGCAACAGGAAAGGAGCCAAATTTGTATTTGATGAAACAAAATGTTCAGGTGCAACAGTGATGCAGCTGTGAAATCGTCCTGCTCAGATGGCTGTTTTCTTTTTTTTAGTTTTCTATCAGACGAAGGAACAGAATGGGAAAGAAGGATGCCGGTGCGACCAAGTTACCCGTCGATCAGTACAGAAAGCAGATCGGTGAGTCTTTCTGTCCTCCAAGCACTGATGAACTGTTTATTTGAGCAATGGCATTATTTCCAGTGCATTCATATTATGTTTGATATGTTGACAATAATCGGAAACACATAGGAACATTTGTATGTTTTTACTTGTTAACACGACAGCATGAATGTTTGATGATTTAAAGTTTAATGGAAGACACAATAACTACGTCAACTTAATTAAAACCATAAATTCTCAAAACAAGGTCCTGATGCTGTTTTAAGTGTTGAGGCTCCTCCTCTTGTTGTGGAAATCCGTTTTATCCAAACTCACCACTCACTGCTTGCTTTGATCACAGCACATTAATCACTAAAACAAATGAATAAATAATTAATCACATCCGACACCAAGACTTAAGGATTTAAGGTTTGGTTTTGGAGGAATAAGCACCATCTTTGCCGACTGCTTTTTAGTCGTTTGCACTTGTTTTATTTAGTTTTTTAATGAAAATTAATTTTCTTGCATTTATTCAAGGAATGCAGTTTCATATATATATATATATGTATATATATATATATATATATATATATATATATATATATATATATATATATATATATATATATATATATAGATAGATAGATAGATAGATAGATTTAGCAGCACATTGATTGTGAAAGTCAACTGAACACTCACTGTGTGTAATATAAGTTTAATAAATCTCTTAATATTTATAGAACTTAAAACATAAAAAAAGGTGTGTTGGGGTCCTTCGGGTCCTTCAGTCAAGTAGTGGCGGCAGTTGGCCACACAGGTGCCTGATTTTTTAAATTTTGTTATTGGCTTTTTCAAGAAAATTTTGGCCAATGGCTGATATAGAAAACATTGAATATACCGGTCAGCCTCTAGAGTTAAGCGCCTGCCCCGTAACTGAAGGGGCGGGCAAGACATTTCACCCTCCTTGCCTGCTGGTGGTGGTGCCGTCGTACGGCAGCCTCGCTTCTGTCAGTGTGTCCCAGGGCAGCTGTGGTTATGTTGTAGACTCTTGCAGGCGTATCAAATACAGGCCATTTTTTACCATTACACCATTATTTAATTGATTGAGGGCACGCATTACGAGGGATGGGGCTGTGTGACGTAAAAAGTGGCGTTCAATGACCAGAACATGTCACCAGAACATAACCAACTGCAACACAATAAATGCAGTGTTATACAAAATGGAAGGCCGGTAGTATTTATTCTCTTACAGTAACAATTTATCAATTTTTTTGAGGAATTAATTAGCGATTTTTTGGTTTAATTAACTGTGCAATAGAAAAGTAATCAGTAGATTAAATGTCTAAATAGTCATTAGAATAGTTGACTATTCGATGAAATAATCGTCAGAATAATTGTTTTAAAAATAGTCGTTTACCCCCAGCCCTACCTTGTAAGATCATTAAGAGTCCAAACACATTCAGTTGGGATTTTAAATGACCCCCCCCCCCCCCAATAAAAAGAAAAAGAGTCCAAACACAGAACTTTGTGGAACCCCACAAAAACACTGGTGCATTAAGAAGTTTAAGTATTTTTGCACCAGTTGGATTCTATCACTTACAACGCTCTTGGAAATGCTGGTTATTGGTGGAAACGATAACAAATTGAAATCCAAAGAAAAATAAAGAAACATAATTTGATACCAGTGAAATTTTGTGAGACTTCAGTAGGAAATTCAAAAGTTTGAGTCCAGTGAGATACATGCATCTATAATTTTTAAAAGTAAGTAAGACACTTGTCAGGACATCTTTCTTAAATGTGTCTCAGTAAACATGTTTTATGCCAATGGCGGAAAAGTGGAGAAAAACTCCCATCTTCTAAGATTGTATGGGGCTAATTAAGAGATGGCTCGAGCTGCAAATAATAATTAGAAATAGTAAGAAGTGGCTTATTCATTCAGCTCTAAGTCCAGGGTGATTGTTGAGCTGTACCATCATCTCTGCTGGAGTGCTTTTGTCATGTCAGATGACTGTCACAGGGCTACTGTTGACACTTTCTCCTTAAATACCATTATTAAGCTTGTTATAAGTGGCTGCCCTCAGGCTAGGTTGGGTTTCTTACATAGACGTGTTCACCGTGTTTGAGTAGTAATTGCTGCTGTCTGTTGAGAACTAGGAGAAGCTGTCTACAAAATGAGACATAATTTTATATCTCCAATTCAAACCTTTGCTAAATGTAATTTTGTCCTGTTTAAAAAAACTGTTGGAAGTTGTACTTATTTAAAGTAAAATATTTATCCAGCTAGGCTAGAAATGGTTGTTTTCTATTAGTCCCTATAGCACAATCATTTAATTTTGTAGTTTATGTCTGAATGATAAGAGAACAGCAAATACATGTCATGGATGCGTTTGACATCTCTCCTTCAGTTGTACCAGCCTTTATCCTGGCAGATGCTAGCATTTCACACCATGTGGTTCCTGACTGTTTGACTGCCGTCCCAGAAAGACACAAAGACAAAGCGTGAGACTGTCAGACATGCTGTCAGTGTGTATCCTGGATTATCCCAGGGCTCTCAGACTGTACTGGACATTGGGCGATCTGTCCACATAACGTCATTCTGTGTTTGCTGCATGTGGAAGACGAATGGTCCCTGCAGACAGAAATACACACACACACATATTTAGCCTTTTTTCTGGCCTTTCCATTGGCCTTATTTAAAAGCCCTTTACTAAACTTAAAACTCGTGACTTTAAAAGTAAAGCATTTGCTTTCTTTGAGCCTTGTATTGCCAGATTTTCTTCTAGTTGTACTTGGGTAAACCTTCAACCAGTCACGGTTTGGCCAAGTCCTTGTTTATGTAGTCCTATAAATGTCTAATTGGCGTATCATTCAAACTGCTGCATTGTTAGATGTCTGATTCAGTTCTGTTTTCTAATAATGGCCAACTTGTATGATATTCGAGTGACAAACCCTTCATCGCTCTCTTGAGTGCTCAATCATAAGTGATTCATTTTGGCTAATACCCCCTACCTGCCCCATTATGCTAAACGATGAAAAGGATTGAGATAAAAAATAATTTCTCCTAACTCCAATCAGACACCATTTAAATGCAACAACAACAGGCAAGAATAAAAACCCCTGAAACAATGAAGCGTATTGGGCAAAGCTACTGTAACAACAACAGGTACATTCGTACCCTGTTGAAGCTGCTTTCTATGGGCCATTCCCATCTGTACCGGGTCGGCCCGGGCCGGGTAGAGTAAGTTGTTTACATATCTGGGTGGCCTGGTATTTTTCTGGGCCAACCAAGGCTCATTCTCAGCCCTCTTCTCGAGGGGGTCTGCTTCAGGCCGACCAGGGCCAACACACCCACTGCTGACAGCAGATTCACACCTTCCATTAGAGCAAGCCTCTGATTGGTGGGTAGAATCAGCCCACATGGGCTTAAGGCAAGGATGTGTGGAATCAACCGGGCCAGGCTGGGGCCGACTGGGGCTATCCGGCCCGGGCCGACCCGGTACAGATGGGAATGGCCCACAAGACTGGTCTTCAAAGCTGGTTCCACTTCTTTGAACTGGCCTGATTTTACATTCACGGCCTTTACAGAAGCACAGATGGATCTTATTATTGGTCTTCAAAGTCTTGTCATAAACACGGGTCAGTGTTTGAGATGGATGTTTGTAGTAGGGCTGCTCGATTATGGCAAAAATAATAATCACGATTATGGTGACTGAAATTGAGATCACGATTATTTAGGACGATTTTTCAATTTATGTTGATTTTATTTGTTTTTATTCAGTCATAAAACTGCTCAGGGCACAATCAGGACGAAAATAAGAAACAAGATGATCACTAAAATAACTCCTGATTCCTAGTATAAAAAGACCAATATACTTATAGCTCATAGTTTATGACCCAAGGGCTATGACCTTGGTTTAACTCATTTAAGTCTAACCAGTACAGACCCAAATACCAATATCTTGCAAATACTGACAGCAAGAATTATACTGTGGCATTCATAACAAATACATGCAAATAAATTGATGTTCACAAAAAATTGCATAATACGTATTTAGTCGTGTCAAGGTGCTGTAGGAGAGTGCACTAGCACCGTATCCTCAGAGAGATTAGTTATTATTTATCAGCGTGAGGAACTTATTTCTACCTTATTTATAAACTATTTATTTACAAGTCCATCAGTTAATGTAATAATTGTCCCAACCACAGCTGCACCCCCCACCCCCAACCCGGTCTCACAGCAATCGGGGCAAGCTGCACGTGTGTTTAGCGCGCCGCACGCGCACATTTAGCCGTTTATAGTGGCTCAGGAGTCCGCAGGTGCGGTGTGTGTGTCACTCACTCTGGTTGCTCCAACAAGGAGCCGGCTCCGAGAGCCGTTTTTTTAGCGACCGACATCGCTACATCATTCCCTTTCCTAATGTCCTGAAGAACGGTCCGGAGAGCAGGCGGTGTTTAGCTAACCTGCAGGAAACGTCGACGATAGTTATCCAGAAAGTAGCTAAGGGTTACCAGAGATGTTTCTGAGGTGTTCACTAGATACTTTTAAGTTAAAAAGTCAAGAAGGGGGTCTGAAAAGCTGCTAGAAATAGCGTCAAAGTCGCTAAATTGGCAACACTGTGGGAGGAGCGCTTCATTTGCAACTCGGGGCAGCGCAGGCGGGAGGAGCAAATAATCGGCTTGTTTTGTTTTTTATAATCGTTCAAAACTCAGATCGTAATCGTGATTAAAATTCGATTAATTGAGCAGCCCTAGTTTGTAGTGCTGGCTGGTATTAATAACAATGACAAATAAACATTCGTCTGCTGGCTCCAGACTCAAATAACAGCTGAAATCCAGTTTATTGCTTCAGAAGTTCAGCTATAACACAATTTAAGAGCTTTATATCATCGTGTAGCATTTTTCTCCACGATAACCAATCATAGGCTTTGTGTAACTGCTCTTGTTTAGCTCCAGTTAAGTATTGATTCTAACGAGATGGTTATTTGTTTGTGAGAGAATGTTTATTCCAATTTCTTCTGGAGGATATAAAACTGGTTCAG